AGCGATTCACGTATGGCAAGATCTGATTGGGAGATAATGGAGTGAGTTCTGGATGTGACTGGATCACAACCAAAGCTCCCCCGCGACCATTCATTTTGTCGGGGCGTCGCAGGGAGAAGCTCGAGGGCGGCTGCTGCAGAGGCACAGGGAACAAGAAGGGGCTCAGGAAGGTAGCTACGGATATATTAGAAAGGTAGATAGTGTAGCTGCTAACTAACTCACTTCGGCATTTGCCATCCACTACTCAACAGTATGCATCGGAAACTTAACAAGCCTCAGCGTATTTTGGTACTGCTAGCAAAATGTTCGTCGTTGCAAATTCTACAAATATTGATACGTGTAAGGAACCACGCTCACATGTTCTATGATTCTAAAATTCGTTTTATATGTAAATAAGTGTAGGTCTCATGTTGACGTCTACAGGATGAACCCACGTTCAAGACGAGATGATACATATATTCATAGTAGTTGAAGGAAAGACGACATCATAGGAGGAATGGCATACATAAAATAAACAGTAGGAAGAAATAGGGTAGTTTACAAATATCGTAGGAATCAGTCTAACAAACATCTCACTTCTAAATACGCCAGCTACTGTCCAACACCTCACAAGTGCGAACGATCCTTACAAGTGGTAGCACTTGTTGGTTGCATCTCGTCGTCAAGCACCTCGTTGGGTGTCTCTGGATTTTTGCTGACCCTCATTTTGCCCCATCCGGTTTAGAAGCGCTGTGAAGTATTGTCAAATGTTTGGTTTTCGATATCTACCCACGATTTTGAGAGCCTGTTTTGGCAAATAGAGTCACTCAGTTGGGTATCGAGACTGGAACCCGGCTTGAAAGGTCAAAGCAGTAAGTCCATTTCCAAAGGTCGAAGTCGTGTACGCACAAGCCGACCCACAATTCCTCACTCATTGACTTGAGTCAGTAGCTTCGGTGAAGGAAGTAGGCTCAAATCAGTTATGCACCACGTTCTATGGGCAAGAAGTGCCGCGCTGAATCTTAAATTTCGTTTGATTGTATAAAGACTTTCGTCTTTGGCTCTGGTTGCAGCTCAGTGGTTTGAACTTCACCAGTCTAAAATTATTACGGTGGAAGCATTTATCGTTGCTTTGAAGAAAACGTTGGTATCAGCGGGCCTGCAATTTCGTCTACGTGATGAATATCATCGATTGAAGCGTAAAGACTTACCAGAATACGTTTCCAAATTTCGCCAACTCATTTCGCAAAGCAAAGACATGACGGAGATCGATCACATCATATATTTCCAAAGTGGATTACAGCAAAGTGCAAGAAAAAAGTTCAATGTATATGTTGTGAGGCTTTAAACAAAGCTGTCACAGTTGCGCTTGATTTCGAGCGTGCTAATTTGAGTAAGGCTAGCGGAAATTCAAGTTCAACACCACATTATCCCTGTCCTGGTCCACAATCAGTGATCCAGTCATCTAATGAGCCTGTATTGACCATGCTCGCCCAAATCAAAGGTCGTCTCGTTTTCAAAATTTATATCAAAATCGCCGTCCAAATAAATAAAGTGATTGTATTGCAAAAAAACTAGGTCATACTATGCAACGATATTATGAGCGGAAGACAGACAACAAGACAGCTATAATCAAGATAATCGAAATCATAACAAGCGCGCCAATATTAATTACTTCGAAAATGAGTCTGTTTATGAAGAAAATATCGCTACAACGTCTAATGAAGCTATCTGTTGAGATACACCGCTGAGTGTGCGTGGATGATGTCACAAGTTACGGTGATCTTAACAGTTTATTTAATGATTACAGATATTGATTACGGACATAATTGCAGTCTTTCATTGGTCTAGAATAAGATTGCTTCTAGAAGCTGCTAGAATGATCTAGACGGATAGGCTTGGATGTAGCTTAGGGTGGCGAACTAAAGGCCAAAATATATTTACTTCGGTTCAAACCAACAGGTAAACAGCCGCACCAAGAAATCTACCCAGCACGCTTCACCCTCACAGCTAGGACGTCCAAGCATCCGAAGTCCTCCTAGGCAGCGAATATTACTTCCGTTGGGAGTTTAACATCCGCATGACGCTGGCGCGAAAGGGGGTTCTTGTCCAACGTTCAAGTCGTTTAGAGGGAAGAAGAGATGACGAAAACTTGGCTGTTCAACGACGCCATGGCTCTGGAGACCATCGCTCAGGATATCGAGCTACAGCACCAGACCAAGACCCGGTCTGCGTCGACGGCTATGCACGGTAGGAGCATTGTACGAGAATTTTACAATCGTACCACGCTTCACAACCGTGTCGAGATGACGCGCCGCTTGAATGAGTTCAAGATGGAGAGCGGCTCGACTATGTCCAAGTATCTGGATGCGTTACTTAAAGAGCCTGTTGACGAATCGCGACAGCTAGTGGTACTGCTGAGCATCCTCACGACAGAATATGAGCTGACCGTGTTGATTGTGGAATATGCCAAGGTCATCACGCTAATCGAAGTCAAGGAGAAGCTGTTGAAGAAGCATGAACGGTTGATGACAACGGAAAAAGCGTTTCCTGTTCACGGAAGCGATGAGCGGTTTTGAAGCAATCGTGGAACTGGACGAAAAGATCACGTTCAGGTAAGAGTAAAGATGGCTTCAAGGGAAAGGGCTATAAGTGTAATCGAGGTGGACATATGAAATGAAATTGCCCAGGCGAAAGCGATGGCATTGATGAAGACGCGGTATTCGCTTATGGTGAAAATCGGATTGATGGATGGCTGGTCGATAGCGGTGCGACTTCGCATATGACATGATACCGTGAAGACTATTTGATTTTGACGATACGATCCTGGGCATCAATGTGATATTGCAGACGGAAAGAAACTGCGTGTTTTTGGCTGGTATTGACGGTAGGCACATCATATGTCTGTACATTCCAAGAATCGATAGGCGGCTACTATCGGTAGGAAAACTTGCAGAATGGTAGATTACGCGTGGGGTTTCAGTAATTTTAGGGTGTTATCTGGGGCAATAACAAGGCTTCAGCTCTGGGCAAGAAGGTCGGCAAAGTTTTCGTTCTTGATTGCAAGTTTGAAGAAGCGCGTTTTGCAGAGTACGCCGGTGCTGATAATCTGTGGGAGCTGTGGCACACGCGCATGGGACATTCAAGCGAGAGCGGTATGCAGTCGCAGTTGCAAGTGATGAAGCAGTGGCGTGGCGAGCAGCAATGAAGACTGAATTACTATCAAACGAACAAAACGGCACTTGGTCTATTGTATCGCGCGGAGCTGCTCGTTCGATTGGATGTCGATAGTTTCGCTAAATAGCAGGATGAGAACGGTTGAGCCATTTGTAACAAGGCACGGCTTGCCGCAAAGGGGTTAAACAAATGTACGGTGTGTTATTTTTTTAAACGTACTTCCTCGTAGCGAACATGAACTCGATTCGGGTTGTATTGGCTGTTTGCGTCACAGACGGATATGAAATGGAACAGCTGGATGCAGACTCTGCGTATCAAAATTGTGAGCTTAGTGACCGAGTCTATATGGACATACCGCCTGGAGTTAAGACTACTGGAGATCCAGTTACGGGTCACGACAGACAGCTAGCGCCTGGAATAGAACGATTCATGGAGGCTTCGTTTCGAATGGCCTTAAGAATTGTGGCATGGATCAGTGCGTGTATGGAAAGCTCTCTAAGAGCGGGACATCTACGTTTGCCCATACGTGGATGATATGATAAGTGCCGCCAAGGCTCGTGCAGAGATCCGTAAGGTCAAAGATGCCCTCAAGAGCGCTTTTAAAATTAAGGAGCTTGGTGACGCAAAGCTCATCTTGGGGATGGGAATTAATCACGATAAAAGAGTCGGAACGCTTATGATCAAGCAAACGAGTTGCATTGATGATGTTACGCAACGATTCGGTCAAGACGACCAAGACCCATGTGCCCTCAATCTCAAGCTTTCCAGAGAACAATCGCCAGGATCAGATGCAGAAGCTACTGAAATGCAGACGAACCCTTATCGCTTTCTCATCGGCTGTCTTATGTACATAGCAACATGTATTAGACTGGGTATTGCCTACGTAGTTACGCAACCACCAAGATTTCTCGAAAATACTGGAATACAGCATTGGCGAGCCGCGATTTGTGTGCTAATGTACTTGTCGTCAACGCACCCGCATGAAATTGCATATAAAGGAGGAGCCAGCAACGTCATGGTTGAAGCATTCGCGGACGCAGACGGGGGAAGCAATATCGACGACAGACGATCTGTTTCTGGCGTGATGGTAAACATGAGTAATGGAAGGCGTTGTAAAGTTGAAATTTTAAAGAACTGTGGCACTGAGTTCAGCACAAGCCGAGTATATGGCACTAAGCCTGTGTACCCAGGAGTTTTGTGGACGTACGCGATGTTAAAGGACATGGAAAAAGGTCATCATCATGCAACACAAGTATGAAAAGACAACCAAAGGGCAATAGCACTGGACCAGAATATTATGCCAGAAGTAAGCATGTCGACATTAAAAACTGCTTTACGCAAGAAACGTTGAATACAGAACGATCCAAATCCAGCTCGCGAACATGCTTACCAAGGCACTAGGGACTAAGACGCTCAAGTCTCTCCGCGAAAAGACAGGCATCAAGAAGCAAGAATTGAAGCAAGTTCAACATTAGCGGTGAGTGGGAGTGTTGACATACACCGCTGAATGTGAGTGGATGACGTCACAAGTATCCGGTAATGTTTACAGTTATTATCATGATTACAGATATTGATGGCGGACGAAATGGTAGTCGTTTATTGGTCTAAATAAATAAGGTTTCTTGTAAAAGCTTCTAGAATGATCTTAACGTATGAGCGTAGATGTTGCTTAGGGTGGGACCTAAAAATATTTACTACCAACTAACCAACAGTTAGTGAAGCTGAAATCGCAAACTCTAGTGGGAAAGATTCAATCATCAAGAAAAGAAGTCTTGATGATCGTGCTGTCAATATTATGCTGAATATAGGTGCCACGTGCAATTTGGTCAAGGCAGGATTTTTACATATATCCATTCGGAAGAAGTTCATTTCGACGGCAGCAAAACTATACAGAAGAAAGTAAAGAAAGGGTTTGCAAATATATCCTAAGAGGAAAATTAATGTTTAGACCTTCCGGTCATGAAATGGCCAATGACCAGTAGTTCAGATGACGTTAATTTGGGTAAACCTTGGTTTACAGCTCACAAACCAATTATCAACCGGCATACGCATCAAGTCTCGTTTAATAGCAGCAATGTTCCATCTAATTTGACACTCGAACATCATGTAATATCAGCATCAGTTTTATAGAGAAATTAAGGAAGTAACAATATGAAGAACTAAAGCGTATCAAAATTTGCCAATTCTCCGATACGGAAGGGCCAAGAGAGCCTTAGCTACAATTATTGCTGGATCCATTTAAAAATGTGTTTTCCGAGAAATTGCCAGATGCTTTACCGCCACATCGTTCGGTAGAGTTTGAAATGACCATGAAACCAGGGACTCAGCCAAGCAATCGACCACCTTTTCGATAGTCTCAAGTGGAACAAGATGCTTTACAGAAGTTTCTTGACGGAAACCTATCACGTGGTTGGATTGAATTATCTAACTCGTCTTTGGTATCCAATATATTTGGCATACCAAAGAAGGATCCGAAGACAGGAACAACTGTTTCTCGTTCTGGATGGACTCGTTCTAGTAACTCTAACATATTGTTACGATGGGTTATTAATTTTTGGTATGTCAACTCTCAAGACATTGTTCCAAAGATTCCCTTGCTACGCATTAATAAATTATACTGACAAAATGCAAGGAAATTGTTTATTTACTGTAATCGATTTATCACAAGGTTATCATCAAATGCGTATCCAACCAAATGGCAATGAGTATACCGCATTTTGTACAAGTAATGAAACTCATCAGTGGTGTGTTGCACCAATGGGTCTTGCACGAATGCCTGGGGTTCGGTCACGTCTTATGCGAGTTCTTTTCGGAAGTGTCCTTTTGCTGTCGTATACTTGGATAATCTTTGTGTGTTTCCACACACTAAGGCTGAATACTTAATACATTTGAAGACAGTGTTTCAAACGTTGCGCAAAGAAAACCTTTGTGCTCACATGGGGAAGTTAGCTTTTTGGGTCATACTGTGTCTGGGAAAGAATTTTCCATGGACAATTTCAATACTGAAGCAATTGCTAAATGTCCAGTCCTATCTTCAGTCAAGGAACTCCAAAGTTCTCTCGGTTTAGCTGGTTATTATCGAAGATTTATTTACCAGTTAGCTCAGATTGTTTTGTCGTTAAGCCAACTTGTGAAGAAAGACACACACACTGGCATTGGGTAAAGACCAAAATGATGCATTTGCTCGTTTTAAGTCTGCTCTCCAATCTGCACCTGTACTCACCTTACCTAATTTTTCACGCCCTTTTGTTCCCAATACGAATGCGTCAGGGTTGTGTATTGGTGATGTCCGTTCGCAATTTGTAAATGGTCATGATCATCCTGTTAGTAGTATACACCGGCACATTACGCCGGCAGTTTTTTATTTTCCATAATTCTTACCTTAATTAATAGTCGATATTAGGTTTAATCAATTCTAATACCCAGGCGGTGTTTCTAACCAGACAGCCAATCAATAACCTCAGAGCGTTAGGGTAATCAAACTCATATTAGATAGGTCTAAGAGTTCCTGCAACCAATGTGGGCCACCCAAATTTCCG